ATGGGGGCTGGCTTCGGGTCCCTCCCAAGCAGAGAGAGAGGGTCAAGGGAAGGAGCGGGTGAAATCTCTAGTTTGGTTTTGGTGAATTGATGAAACCCAAAGTGCTAACCTAGTTTATCAAAGTGATTATGAGATAGGTAGCACTACTCCAAGCGGTGAAGCAATGGTGATCATGACATGATGATGGTGATGGCATGGTGATGATCAAATGCTTGAACTTGAAAAAAGGAGAAAGAAAAATAAAAAGCTCAAGGTAAAGGTGAAACTTGATAGGAGCTTTTCATTCTAGTGATCGAGACACTTAGTGGGTGTGATCACATTTAGGATCAATAGCCGTACTATTAAGAGGGGTGAAACTCGTATCGAAATGCGGTTATCAAAGTGCCACTAGATGCTCTAACTCTTTGCATATGCATTTAGGATCTAGTGGAGTGCTAATACCCTTGAAAACATTTGTGAAAATATGCTAACACACATGCACAAAGGTGATACACATTGTGTTTAGCACTTGGGAGCAAGGGTAAGAAACTTCACCGGTGGAGTGTCCGCCCGTAGAGTGCGGATAGTCCGACGGTGCCACCGGTGCCCTATACAGAAAAGATAGGGTTTCATAGAGTGCACCGGACGCTGGTCACGCAGTGACCGGATGCTGGGGTCCTGCGTCCGGTCAGTGGCACGCAGTGAAGTCCGCGCTTGGTCTCTTGACCAGACGCTGAGTTCAAAAGTGACCATACTCTGGCTGAACACAGTTTAGCGTCTGGTCATGCTGATGTGGTAGTGCACAGAGAAGAGGGAGAGTGATCGAACGCTGGGTGAGTCCGGTCGAGCGTGACCGGACGCGTCCGGTCGTGAGTGGAAGCTTACTGGAAACGATCGGACGCTGGTGTTGGTGCATCCGGTCACAACTTAAATGCACTGATGACCGTTGAGATCGGGTGATCAGTATTTGAAGCAGGGGACACGTGGCAAAGATCTAAGGACCGGACGTTGGGGTCCTGCGTCCGGTCAATACGACTGGCGCGTCCGGTCGCCCCATTTTTCAGTGGACTGAGGAGCCAACGGCTCTATTTTATGGTGGCTTCTATTTAAGCCCCATGGCCGGCTCAAGCTCACTCTCTTAGCCATTTGCATTGACATAGCAACCTTGTGAGCTTAGCCAAAGTCCTTCCACTCATCTCCATCATTGATTCATCATCAATGTGAGATTATGAGAGAATCCAAGTGCATTGCTTGAGTGATTGCATCTAGAGGCACTTGGTGTTTGTGTTTTGCTGTGGGATTCGCTTGTTGCTCTTGGTGGTTGCCACCACCTGGACGGCTTGGAGCAGTGGAGGAGGATTGGCATGAGTTGGTGATTGTTCGTGGCCATCTCCCGGTGATTGTGAGGGGTCTTGTGCCTTCTCCGGCGAAGCGCCAAAAGGTAACTCTAGTGGATTTCTTGTGTCATTGAGTTACCTCACTTGTGGGTAGGTTCTTGCGCTGTCCAATTGTGTGGACGAGGTTCGTGCAACACCTCTTAGCCGCCGAACCACCAAGTGTTGGTCGACACAACGGGGACTAGCGTGTCGACAAGCACGTGAACCTCAGGAGAAAAATTGGTTATCTCTTGCCCTTTGATATTCTCCCGGTGATTGAATTAGTATTCATCTTGTTATTGGTTCACTCCTCTACTCGGCGGTATAATCACCTTACTCATTTACATTCCCGCAAACTAGTTGGAACAAGCTCTTTAGTGTAGCTAGAATTGAGAGCTTGCTTTGTACCTTAAGTTCATTTAGTGGAGCTCTTTAGAGTAGCAAGTGTGAGAGCTCTTAGTGAGTAGTGACTTAGTAAATTGTGTGTCTAGTGTTCATAGCAACTAGAATTGTTGGATAGGTGGCTTGCAACCCTTGTAGAGCTAGAGCAAGTTTGTTTTTCGCTATTTGTCATACTAACTAAATTGCTCTAGTTATTTTGTAGATTTTTAAATAGACTATTCACCCCCCTCTAGCCATATTAGGACCTTTCAGCAGGGCGCAACGAGGGACAGAGTGCGCGTGTGAGGCGGGGGCGAGGCGGACGGGGGGGGGGGTTGCGTGGCCGTCCATCTCGACACGAGGAGCTGCAAGCGTAGCATCAAGGGTGGGGTGCACGTGCGAGTCAAGGTGAGGCGGACGAAGTCGGGCTACGTGGGCCTAATACTTGGACGCAAACCAGCAAAACATAAATCAATTAAGTCTCTTTCTGAAATCATCAAATGAAAACACCGGTAAATCGTTTGAAAAAATCAAGGATGGGCTCATCACCCCCTTGACGAACCAATCCAAAGTGATTATGAAACTTTTCTTCTAGTTCAGCCCATGAACCAATAGAACAAGATGGTAATAAAGTAAACCATGCAAAAGCTATGCCGGTAAGTGACAAAGGAAAATTATGAACTTTCATAAAATCAAAAGCACTAGCTTCACCCAATTGTGCAAGAAACATGTTAATATGCTCCATGGTTGATTTACTATCATCACCACTAAATTTATTAAAATCAGGTACCCTCCACCCATCAGGTGCTTTCATGAAATCAAAATGCGAAGGGTACGGTTTGCGGTATGTAGTCCTACTAGGGTTGATTTGTACACCCAAACTTTCCTCAAATGATTTAAACAATTCCTCTCTAAACCGATTCAAAGTTTCATTAAAATCAGTAGAAGGAGCAGTAGGTGTATTATCAAGTATAGGGATTTGACCTGGTGACTTCGGTGGGTTTGGAAGAATCGTGTTTTGCCCCGCCGAAGCTCGGTTTGTTGCTGATCTTTGATCGGTTCATGTGTTTTGAGCCAAATTTTGATCATAGATAACCAATTGTGAAGATGGAGCAACACTGGCTAAACCGGCCTTATCGGTTTCAAATGCCGAAGGGGCCGATTTGCCTTTATTTGCTGCTGCATATAACCTTTGGTTTTCATAAAAATTTAAAGGCATGCCAAACTTAGGTTGTTTAGAAGAAGCAACACCCGATTGGTTACCATCGGTTGTTTTCCCTTCTAACTTATCAAAATGAGCCATGATCATATTTACCATAGCTAAAAGATTATTATCTATTACTTTCTTATGCTCTTCCATCATTGTAGTGTAATTGGCATGTGTAGGATAAAGATCTTCATCATATTTAGGTTCAGTGATCCTTACCTCAGATGCAGCGGGTGTGGATGATGTAGAAGTGATCAACTCGCTGAACTCTAGCTCCTTGTATTCGGTGACCTTGTCCTGCCGATCTTTAGTGCAGCTCTGAAGAAAAGCCTTCAGAATGGCGTTAAACTTAGCCTCCACTTGTTGCTTTAGCTCCTCGGGAAGCTCTTCAACGGCCTCGATATGGTTGATGTTAGCATCATGAGGGTTGCGAGTCTTGTCGCCCTTCTCACCTGCATCATCACCCTTGCTTCCCATGCTGATCTTAGATTGAATCTTGGATTGCTTTGCTTTCCCCAGTGGAGTCGCCAAAAAGTATGTTAACATTGAAGATGACTCCAAGCCAACACACTAGGAGGACCTTGGACGCCCAAAGAGGTTATAGATCTACCTGCAACATAGCGAGAATGCAGGGTAATCGACCAAACCGATCTAGAGACCGATAAGGCCGATGTAGAGCACATTCTTGGCTGAAAATGCTTCCGAACTTCTCCCGGAAAGACCCATCGGGGAGGAGCACGTGGAGGATCTCCTAGGACCAGCAAGGCCACCTAGGATGCTGCTGAATCTCATCGGGAAGCTCAACGAACATTAGGAGGGGTTGAGAGAGGGGAATTAGGGCAAAAGGAGTTAATATGTTGTGTTTTTGATGATTGGATATATGGGAACTCAATCGGCCATGATCCTCTCATATATATAGAGGGGGTTGGTCTTATCCTAGTAGGAAACCTCTCCAAGACTTATTTTCCAAGTTTTCCACGAGTTTGGAATAGTTGGGATCGAGTTTGGACTCTCCCTGATTCGGACTGCAAAAATTAGAAGTTCTGACAAGGGGTTAGAAGTTCTGATTTTCACGCAAAGCCAGCACCTGCAGGCGAACATCAGAAGTTATGGCAAGGGGTCAGAAGTTCTCATTCTCGCACAAAGCCAACACCTTCAGGCGAACATCAGAAGTTCTGGCAGGGGTCAGAAGTTCTGATTTCCATGCAAAGCCAGCACTTCTAGGTGAAAATCAGAAGTTCTGACAGGGGTCAGAAGTTCTGGTGGGGTGAGATTTTTCTGAGGGAACAACTCCTTCATCCAGACTCCAGAACGTGATGGTTTAGTCCGTCCTACACTTCTTCATAGAATGGACAATTTTGATTGTCAACGAGACTCTTCCATAGTCTTTCCCTATGCTGGCCCCACCCAAAAGGAAACGTTGGATTATACAATACCAAATCCCAATCATTCACACATAACTGTCAGTGTCAAAGCAACCATTTGTTTATCCAGTGGCTTACGACGAGGAGTGGTGTGGTCAATGGAGATGTGCAGCTCGACTGAGGATTAGCAAAAGCATCTCAACAAAGAACAAGGAAAATGATGTATAGGTCGGCTCACTACACCACAACACCGCTTCACCGTCAGACATCTGACGCTAAAAATTATATTTGGCGATGGATGATCTGACGCTAAAGATAACTCAGAGACCATCTGACGCTAAATCCTCATTTAGCGATTTAGTGTCTGTTGCTATAGGTATTCATATTTAGCGTTGAACCGTCTGTCACTAAAGCCAAATGTACCGTCAATCTGTCTATCGCTAAAGAAAATGGGCCCCACGCTGAGCTCGCGTGCCCCCACAATATGGATCAAGATAAATAGCCCATCACGGCCCACACTCACAGCCGCAACAAGCCCATACGGGCCCAACCTGGAACCCCATTGGCGGCAACCCCTACATACCCCCCACGAGTTCGCGCTCCATTCCCCCAAAATTTCCCCATTTCCTCCCCCTCCCCTTCCACCCGCAGCTCCCCGCGCCTAGAAGGGGAACCCAGCCGCCGCCGCCGCCTATGGCCTCCTCGTCAGAGAACACGGGCACGCCGCTGGAGGAGGAGCAGCCCCAGGCCCCACCGACGCCGAACCCAGAGCCTACCGAGGCGGCGGCGCCCGACGAGGCGGAGGAGGAGCCGCAAACCCTAGAGCGACCGCAGGAGCTCTTCGACAGGGGCGCCAAGGCCATCGAGGACAAGGACTTCGTCGAAGCCGTAGACTGCCTCAGCCAAGCGCTCGAGATCAGGTTAGGGTTTCCTTTCCCGCTCCGATTTCCCTTCCACTTCTGCAACATGTAGCTGTGAAGCGACTCCGCGTGTTGGCGTATTTTGGAGCAATTGGCGGTTGGTAGGTGCGTTTCTGTCTGGATTTGCTGGTTTTCGCATCAGCGCTTGGGTGGCTCGGGATTCAGTCCACTAGGGTTTAAGGGGTTCTGCAGCAGACTGCTTAACAGGGGTGTTATCGTTTCGTTTATGTCGGTGAGTGAGATGCAGAGAGTCTGTCGTTGTCAGGGATCTATTGGATTTGGCTCCGAGACCTGTGGTGGTTTGTGGAGCAACACTTGGCCATGGTTTGTCATGGTGCCTAAATTGTGTTCACCATCAATTGGAGTGTACTGTTTTTTAAACAACTTTGGAGTGTACTGTAGTATACAATGGTTAAGGAAAATGTGTTGTCTGTATGAGATTATGCAAACATTTCAGAAGTCAATCAACAACAAACTAACTTAGGACCTTGTATCAGTAACTTGGTTGATAAAATCTCTATATCTATCAGTTTCAGTTGTGCTGCTCTATCTCGTTTTACATTGCCCCTCATGGCCTGATGCAAGTTATGTTAATAACCTTTACAGTGGTGCACTAACAATTTTGTGAATTTGTTGCCCACTAGGACTTCACATTATGGAGAGCTCGCGTTGGAGTGTGCCAGCACATACTTCAAATATCCACGTGAAGCAGAGAAAATATTTGTTCCAAAGGCCTTTAGCAAGGTGAGACAGGACTGAACTGACAAGATTTTTTTATACATGCTGCATTGCAGCAATGCTCGAGTATTGGGCTCATCAGTAGGCAAGTAATTGCTATATATGATACATCATACATGCCTACAACAGTTCAAGCCAATGAGTGTTAGGAAAATCCTAAAAATGGTGGTTGCCCTAAGAATTTTGGGGGAATTTAACATCAGTTCAATTAGATGCTTGCTGCTTGTAGATCCCCATCTGTGCTGTTGAATGCAGCTAACTATAATACTAATGATGCTCTTGTTTTTATGATATCTTATATTGAGTTGATAAACTAAGAATCGCATTAAATACAATTGTTTTAGCCGGTAATTTGCTTGCAGCAAATAAGGAGTAAACTAGAAACCTTAATAACATTGATCAGTATGTTTATTCCTAAATAACATCAGCCTTGCCATACTATGTGTTTGTATATATTGATTAATTTGAGATGCATTCTATGCAATTTATTCGAAGATCCTGTCCACATACATGTATATAGGCCTACATACATACAACTTTTGAAATAAGCAGTAACCAAGGGAACCAAGAATAATGGTACGTAGTTTACTTGACTTGCAGCTAGGTATCCTGAATGTTTCTCTAGTTTTGTATGCCATGTGGTTTTCAAAAAAAAATCAGGCCTTACCAGGGCATATTACACTGCATATCATTTACACTTTTATTCCATGATTTAAGATTAGTAAAGGGCTTCCAGTTCATCATTTTTGTTCATAGCAAGTTTATGCCTCCCTTACATAGCTGCCTACTTTCAGATCTTTACTATGCTCAGACAGTTTGAACAAGTAATTGGATGTACATCTGTAATGCAATGTCTGTTATATCCCTTTAATTTTTAATTTTAAATTTTTTGTGACTTTAAGTATCAGTTCTTTTTTGACTTTGATAATGTAGATTCAGAATCTAGAGACAAGTGATTTTAAGGACAAGTGCTATGGTTTTTTTTTTTTTTGCTACACATACAACCTGCAAGCTTGGGCCTTCCAGCGGTAGGCGCTCGGCCATCACCGCACGGAGCTCCTCTGAGTGCGTAGAAGGAGATAGATAGTTTCTGGATATTTTGCAGCTTCTGCAGGCACTTCACCAGGATATGTTCCTGTTCACTGGAGTAGACAATATCTAGCTCCCTCAGTTCTGTTAGATGGCCCAGCTCTTCTATAGCATGGGAGTCTTCGATGCATAATCCTGACAGCTCTTGGAGGGATGTTAGACACCCAATGCTGTTTGACATAGTTATATTCAACTTGTCCATGTATAGGCACTTTAACTGCTTTAGCTACACAATAGTGAATGGCAAGGTTGAAATTGCATTGTTGGAGATGTCTAACATCTGTAGAAATTGCAGGTTCCCTATTTCATCGGGGAGGAGACAAATCTTTGTGGAACGTAGTCCTAGGCACCTCAAGTCAACTAACTTCCCAATACCGGTAAGGTTGTAACCATCTGAAAGATCACAATTTTCCAAACATAATACACGTACAACTTTGAACCTGGAAAGGGCTGGTATCAAATTTGCAGTAGATGAAAAGGCAACTACAGACCTCACTTGCTGCATGCTCACAGTAGCTCCATGCATACCATCATCTACTTTACAAGCAACCCAGATTTTAAAATTGTTGCCAGGTTAATCCTTTGAATGTTACTAATTAATTGAGCAAATTATGAATTGTACCTATACATTTTCATCTGCATAAACAGACCTAGTATAAATCGATAAGTAGCAAATAGTAAGGTTTGAAAGTTTTAGTGTTCGAGCAAACTGAATATGTGAATTATATTTGTGAAACTATGTCATCTTATTCTCTCATTGTAAGTTGAAAGTAGCAATTTGTAACCGAGTTATATTTATCATTCTATTATTGCACTGTAGTAAATCAATTGAAATAGCAGCAGCTCATCTCGCTCTATTCGGCAACTTGGTCTTGGCTTGTTTCAGTTCAGCAACAGCTCAACCATGTGTTTCAGGTTCCGAATTTTTGAGTAGCAGGAGAAATGACAAGCCATCCTTGCTTTTCATCTAGTCAACTACTTAGACGAAATCAATAATATCTATATCCTGTAGTGAAAGAGTATAGACTTGTTGATTGTTCAGGTTTACAATTTTTACAGGCATGTAACTTTGCTTCTTTTGAAAGCAGTGTTTATATGCATCTAAAATGGAGTGATTTCTACTTTTGTAATAATACATCATACTGAAGCATAGTAACTTTATCTGATCATGTGTCTATTTTCTTTCTCGATGGAGGCAAAATGGATATGCAAGTCCTTGTTTGAATTTATTCACCGAATACTGCTTAAGTTAACTGCCAATGTTTTTTTATGTATCTATTTCTTTATCAGTCTAGGTTTAAATTGATGTTCTTTCCATAAAAGCTATTTGCAAGGGCTCTCCACACCTTTTTGCTTCAAACTTCTCCTTTTGGCCTATACTTGCAATTACTTTCAAGCTTAAGGCACTATTAGATAGCTAGATGTCTTGTAGAAAAGAATCATATTTCATGCATGCATTCACTTGTGTTCCTAAGAAGTCTACATTGTATGCAGCTCTGCAATGTTGACATTTACGGTGTGCATGAAGGTTTTCAACACCTAATCAGAAACATAGTTCCTAGGAAAATGTTTATCTGGTACCCTAATGAGACTAAGAATCAGAGTCATACGAAGGGTATATAAGGCAATATTTGTAGTTTTTGTTTGATATGTTCCTGAGATTCCTTACTATCTGTGTAGAGGTACCACTAATTATAACGTAGGATGTACCATTATTTGGCACCTAAGGTATGATACAATTTTTGGTATCTTAGATACCAGTTTCAAGCAATAATTTTTGTACTTCTTGGTACCTTTCTGAGATACCAGAATGCTAGTCATGTTGAATACAAGTTTTGCCTTCCTCACCTAATTACATCAAAACTTCTTTGCTGCTCAATAGAGTCCATTTGGTAGTAGCCCAGGGGGCCTAGCTTATTTGCTCTAAAATATGTCTAGGAGAGGAAAATTCCTAAACCCTATTTCTTGCATTGGCATTCTAAATTGCTAAGTTATTCTAATTTATCCATATTAAACACTAAGCTTTGCTTGGGGATTGAGAAGAAAATGCTAGTCTAGGATCCAAACACACCCTTTGTTTCCATTTCTGCTTGAAATTGTTTTTGAGTTTCCATGGTAACAAACAACCTGATACAACAATACCTTCAAACCAAACGGTAAAATTAAATTAACCTCTGCCAATAATTCACATTCCCACTTCCCACGTCAGCAATCAAACAACTGTCCATTCATTTTCATTTTGAAACCTTATCTGATGGTTTGCATGTTTATATTCTTTATTCCCTTTTCTATTTCTAGAACCCTCTTGCTTTGGTATCACAGGTGATTGTTAGTGTATTGAGTGGTCAATCTTGACATTTGATGTACATAGATTATGATGTAACCGAATTGTTCATTTCAGATGCGAATCACATGAGGACTCTTGATTCAAGTATTAAATGTAATTTAGCAATTATCAAGAAGCTTAGTGATAAATGATGAAGAAGTGAAGGACGGGTTAATTGAAGAATTGAAAACTGTAAACTTGAGCAAATTTGTCAGTGAAGCAGTTTCTTACATTTGTGCTGCTAAGCTTCGTTCTACTGACATACAAGCTGCAGTTCAGGTATGCGCAGTGTTAACAGTACCTGGATCTGGTTTACTTAGTCTTATCAGTTCACAAATATACACTTAATCCGTCTTGTAAGCTACAGCCTTGCTCATTATACATTTCTTTATAAGTTATTTCATACATGGATAAGCAATGTGTTCTGTATAAGAGAAGCATGCTGCTGCCCTAATTTTTATCGGCATCAAAATCTGTAGGCTATTAGCTTGTGGAGTTGTGCAGCATTACACATATAGGTTATATTTATTTTTTTGGCGATATTATTCTTGTCTGTAAACTGTTAATATTATGGTGAATTCCCATGGAATGTAGATTTGCTCACTGCTCCATCAAAGATACATAGACTTCTCTCCTTGCCTTATTGAAGAACTCCTAAAGACCTTCTATCCTGGGACAAGTGATTTTAAGGACAAGTGCTATGTTTTGTTGTTGTTGTTTTTTGCAACACATACAACCTGCTGTATTGATCGATGTAAATGGTAAAAATTTAATCTCCACACAAACTAATGTATCTGCTTGAGTATATATGCCATGCTCAATACGCAAACTATGTTTCCATTTTCTGAATTTGTCAATTCTTAATGCTTTACTGTGTTCTGCATTCATACTATGATTTTTCTATTTTATGCTAAATAAACGTCATGTACTTTCTTATTGTTTCAGTTGCAATCACTACTTTTAGTAGCACAAGGCACATGCTTCCACAACCAGATTGGCTTGGATGGTTTTGGAGGATGTTCTTTGTCTCTAGAGGAAGTAGATGTGGTAAGCTTACCTATGTGAGCTATTGTAAACTTTTGGTCAAATTTGTGAAAATGCATGTATCTTTATTGAAGTTGAATTCTAGTTGTGTATTTGCTGAATGAACTTTTGAAGCTTAGTGTAACATTTGTAATAATTGTTGACCGATCAATTTTTATTGTTTTAACCATTTAAAACTAACTGTCGGACCATCTGTCACTAAAACTATATGTAGCATCAAATGATCTGTCGCTAAAGAGTAGCAGCGGGTTGTCTGTCGCTAAAAAAATTTAGGGCAACAGACTATCTGTCGCTAAAAGTACTATCTGACGCTAAAGATTTTTAGCGACAGGACTAACAGCGTCTGCAGAAGTATGTCGCTATAACTTTTTAGCGTCAGATTGTCTGTCGCTGTAGCCGCTTTTAGCGTCAGACCATCCATCGTTAATCTTGGTGTTGTGGTGTAGTGGCTGCATCATGTAGTACAATGCAATTTTGAAAAGACTTCATGGTATTTTCCAAAATAAAGAAAATACTTCATGGTAGAACTCGTCTTTCTTGGCGCCGGTATTCTCACTGTCGCCGCCCCCGCCTTGCCGGTTCTAGTGCCGCCGCACCCGACCTCGGCACCTCTCGGTGCCTCGGCCGCCACGCGCTCCCCTGCGCTTCTACTATCTTCACCGGCGGCTGACGGTGGCCTCGCCGCGCTACCCACCTCCCACCGCCACCACTCAACCCTGCCCTTCCCTAATCACGGCCGGAAACTACTCGTGCCACGCCCCAACTGCTGCTAGCCCTGCCCAACCGTCGTCTTCCATTGCCTAGGCGGGCTATGCTCCCACCGCCCCTGCCCAACCGTGTTGTCTCAGCTACCACCACCACCATGTCGCGTCCGCCCCCAAACCCCTTTCTACATCCGCCAGTGATTGGATCCCCTAACCCCCGAACCCTAATGCTGGCAAGCTCCTCGTCTCTGGTACCAAAGGTAGGACTGTCCATGTTCTGCGCGATGGGTCGCGTAGTAGAGTTTGTGTTCATGGTACATGGAGAACACTTACATTACATGGGTCGATCGATGGAGAAAAGTCTTATGGTGCTAGTTTGCTAAGATGTTTTAGCTTTTCTGTGTGCGTAAGACTTTTCTGTGTATGTAAGACTCCCTTCAATATAAATTATAAGATGTTTTAGCTTTTCTGTGTACGTAACTTTTTTTTTACCTAAATATACACAACGTCTAGATGCGTAGTAAAAATAATGTATTTAGAAAAATCAAAATATCTTATAATTTGGAACATAAGTACATCTATATATGAGATGAAGACACTGACGTGATGAATCAATGTAACTATCACAAGGAAATTTTCCAGCCTAAAACGTTGACATGCATGGCTTCACCTTACCAGATTAGCACAAATTGCACCGGTCTCTCTCTCTCACCAATAACAATAGGCAACATTTCTAAGAGTTAATGCTAACCCCCACCTCAACTTGAAGCTCGAATTTTAATTTCCGAGTCAAATTAAATTACTTGTTGCTTAACTTCAAGTATGTGAAAACTAATAAGCCGAGTTTGGCAGCGTTTTTATGGATTTACACATGCAGTCAACCAGTCATACACTATTTCAACATTGAGTTATGCTCCGGTGGTCCTCTCCAAAAACCTAGCACGAATATTAAAGCATTTGATAATTAATTTCACCATGAGTCTGGATTGGGACCGGCCCAATACCCATGCCCAAATGAAGCCCAGATGCAGCCCAAACCACTTTACTGGCCATCTGCTCGTATCCCCGTACACCACTTTACTGGCCCCCGCGCAAAGTATATCTCTGCATGCATGGTCTGCAGGCAGGGCAGCGGCAAGGTGGATTTTGCATTCGCTTGATTTCCCATCGTCCTCGCTACGAGTGTTACACAAATAGGTGCTCCCGATCACGCTCCACATCTACCAGTGCTTCCGCCAGCCTTGCACATGCTGTCGCGTGCCATCTACAGTTTACACATGTCGGCCCTACCTCGATGAGCCGGCGCTCCAGCTTTCCCACTTCCTCATCCCCTGCCTGATCTGGCGGTCGACACCGCCGCCATGGAGCTCTGCTTCCCCTCTGCCCTTGCGGTTGTTGCGCTGGGGGGCAGCGACGGCGACGCCAAGGCACCGGGAGATGCAAAGGCCCGGCGGCGGAGTGATTGAGATGGTACAACAACAGTTAAGATCCACAAGAGCTCGGGTGGGTATGGTATGGGCTGGGCTTGCGATGGGCACGGGTACAGGCCAAACTTGTCGTACTATACTGTGTAATTCTCAAAAAGAAAAATTAAAATGAATTGTTTGTTTACTTTAAGATCGGTGTAGTTTTCAGAAAAAGATCTATCAGAGCAAAACTCTTAGAAATGTTGCCTATTGTTATTGGTGAGACAGACCTCTAGTGCAATTTGTGCCGATCTGGTAAGGTGAAGCCATGCAGGTCAACGTTTTAGGCTAGAGAATTTCGTCCTTGCGACAGTTACATTGTGACCTGTCTTCATCTCCTGTACAGATCCCTCTATTCCAAATTATAAGATATTTTGATTTTTCTAGATACATTGTTTTTATTATGCATCTAGATATAGTGTATATTCAAGTAAAAAAAGTTATATACGTAGAAAAGCTAAAACATCTTATAATTTAAATTAAAGGGAGTACTGTTTTAGTTTAGATGGAGGAGAGTTGTCTCGCTCAACAATGCCTTGTGAGCTAAAACATAGCAAACTAGCACCATAAGACTTTTCTCCATCGATCGGCCCATGCAATGTAAGTGTTGTCCATGTACAATGAAAGCAAACTCTACTACACGACCAATAGTGCGGAACATGGACAGTGTGTCCCAACGGCCCAGGAGCCCAATACCCTACCGCCGGCGTCGAAGATGAGGAGCTTGCCAGCCTTAGGGTTCGGGGGTCAGGGGGTCCAATCACCGACGGCTATACAAAGGGGTTTGGGGGCGACCGTCGCGACACGACAATGGTGGCGCCCGAGACAGCGGTTGGGCAGGGCAGCGGGGGCGCAGCCCGCCTGGGAGGTGGGAGAGGGCAGTTGGGAGGGGCTGGCGGCGGGTTCACCACCACGGGAGTAGTCTACGGTGGCTCTGTCATTAGGGGAGGGCAGGGTCGAAGAGCGATGGTGGGAGGTGGGCGGCGCGACGAAGCCGCCGGTGGAGAGAGTAGAAGCCCGGGTGCGGCGGTGCCAGAACCGGCAGGGCGGGGGCAGCAGTAGCGAGAGTACCAGCACCAAGGAAGAAGATTTCTACCATGAAGTCTTTTCTCTTTTTTTAAAAAAAATACCATGAAGTCATTTCAAAATTGTGTTCTCTTTTTAAAAAAAATACCATGAAATCATTTCAAAATTGTGTTGTACTGCATGATGCAGCCGGTCTATTGGACAACTACTAACAAACTAATGGAGAAAAGAAGTTCTACCGCCGGTTTGAAAGCAGACGACACACACTAGAGCGAAAAACCAACGGTGAAAACTATTTCCAATGCCGGGTCGGCGGATGATCTGGCAGTGAATACCATGGTTACCACCGCTGGATCATATGGCAAACCAGCGGTGAAAACAGTTTTCAGTATAGGTTTTTCGCCCACTATGCCGCCTACTAACAAATAGGCGGAGAAAAGAAATTTCACGGCTAGTTTAGGGATTGAACAGGAGGTGAAGAAGGGTCAGGAACAAAACCCACTTCCCTCTTGTTCTTCCTTGCTCCCTCCACTTTCTTACCACCAGCTGCCACCTTTCTTTCACAACTGCTGGGGCCATTTTCCACCAATTTTCTCATGGAGAATCTTAATGATCGAAGATGAACATGAGCACACATCACTTTGTTTTTTGTAAGGTAGGTAACTATCAACCCTTTAAATTCCTACCTTACTCCTTTAGTGAAATGTGTTCGAAAGCATATTTCTTCCTTTTAGAGGGATTCTTGCACCCAATTGATCGTGGAGATTCCCAAATTTTGAAGTTCTTTGTTGACACCAACTTACTCTATGGCTAATATGTAGCATGCATCTAGTTTAGTTGTTAGCTTCTTTGTTTGGTTACATTATTTCCAATATATTGAACTGAATGTGATGGATAGCCTCTTTAATTTAATTTGAGTGTATTGCAATACATGTTTTAATTGTGTTTCGTATACCTTTTTGCTTCCCTCACTTTGTGTTGCATAAAGTAGAGCCATGTACTTCGAAGTTGACTCATATAAGATATCTGCGCTTCAAAAACAGCTTGCTGGTTTCATTATGGACCAAGTCATGAATTCAAATAGGGATCATTGTGTTATTATCTAATCAAGTTGCAGCTTAATAATCTCAATGAAACATTAGTCTAATAATCGTTGTCACTCAACTATTAAAACCAAAATGGGTCAATCACCCTCCCCATATCCCAACCCTAACGGCATTGTCCCAAAATCTGATCCCCGCAAGTTCTCATGCCGGCGGGCATGGCGGAGGTATGGATCCATAGTGAAGTTGGTAGAATAGAGTTGAAAAAAAAGTGAACAGAGTAGTCCCAAATATGTCCTTAAGTCTAAACAAACACACTGAAACAAACCAAAATATTGGCACTAAAATATTTGGGATCCACACTCATGGTGATATTTTAGTGCCGGTGTTTTGGTTTGTTTCGGTGTGTTTGTTTAGACTCAAGGGCCTATTTGGGACTACTTTGCTCCACTTTTTTTCAGCTCTATTCTACCAACTTCACTATGGATCCATACCTCTTCCATGCCCATCGGCATGAGAACTTGTGGTGACTGGATTTTGGGACAATGCCCTTAGGGTTGGGATGGGGATGGTGAAAGACCCATTTGGGTTTTAACAGTTGAGTGAACGATTATTGGACTAATGTTTTCATTGAGATTATTAAGCTACAACGTGACAAGATAACACAATGGTCCCTATCTGAACTCACGACTTGGTCCATAATGAAACCATGAAGCTGTTTTGAAGCGCGGATATTTCACGAGTCAACTTCAAAGTACGTGGCTCTACTTCATGCAACACATAGTGAAAGAAGCAAAAAAGGTATATGAAACACAATTAAGACATGTATTTCAATACACTCCAATTAAATTAAAGAGGCTATCCATGACATTCATCTCAATATATTGGAAATAATGTAACCAAACAAACAAGCTCACAACTATACTAGATGCATGCTACACATTAGCCTGAGTAAGTTGGTGCCAACAAAGAACTTCGAAATTTGGGAACCTCCACGACCAATTGGGTGCAAGAATCCCTCTAAAAGGAAGAAAGATGCTTTCCAACACATTTCGCTAAAGGAATAAGGTAGGAATGTAAACGGTTGATAGTTACCTGCCTTAAAAAAAGGAAAGTATTGTGCTCTTGTTCATCTTCGATCATTAAGATTCTCCATGAGAAAATTGGTGGAAAATGGCCCCAACAATGGTGAAAGAAAGGTGGCAGCTGGTGTTAAGAAAATGGAGGGAGGAAGGAAGAACAGGAGGGAAGTGGGTTTTGTTCCGATCCCTTTTTCACCTCCTGTTCAATCCCTAAACCAGCATTGAAATTTTTTTCTCTGCCTATTTGTTAGTTGGTGGCATAGTGGGCAAAAAACCCATACTGAAAACTGTTTTCACCGCTAGTTTGCCATATGATCCAGCGGTGATAACCCACCAATCCGGCGTTGGAAATAGTTTTCACTGTTGGTTTTTGCCCTAGTGTGTGTCGTCTGCTTTCAAACCGGCGGTAAAACTTCTTTTCTCCATCAATTTGTTTAGCAGGTGGGATACTAGACAAAAAATTGGTTGTAAAAATTAGGGGTGGGCATTCGGGTAACCCAAATTTTTTGAGCCGACTAATTCGGATAATTGGAAGTTTAGGTATTAAAAATTGCTACCCGATGTTAGCCCCAAAAAAGTATTACCCTAAATTTTCGGTACCCAATAATTTTGGTTCGGGTTTTATCCTATATACCTGAAATTGATAAAACCAATAATTTTGACAAAATTTCAGTAGCATTTTAAAACAATAAACAATAGTCCTCCAAATCACTTCATGTGTTCATATCAATTAACAACAAATCAATGATCAAGGTAGCATGGATCTACACTGAGTCATACCAAATAAAAGATTTAAACTACATTGAACCATTTCATATCTTCATATTAGAAATAGAAGAGCAAAATTTTGAGATATTTTAGGTAATTTAGGTAGTTCAGGTACTGGGAAACATTACCTGAACTAAGAGCATATCCAAGAGTTTCCAAAACCCACTTGATTCTTTTGGCAAGATTGGAAAAACCTGCTCTCCAACAACTCCCTATCTCAACTCCTAATCTTCCTGTACTTGAAAAATCAAACTCGTCGCACTGATAAATACGCACGGTATCCATCGCGCCAATCCGAAGGTGGAAGGACGTGGCCAAAATAAGAAGTAGGACAGGGTTCTAGATGCAAATGTACAAGAGAGAAAAAATATAAAAGTGGTTGCAGCGATTTAAAAATAGTTTGGGATTACTGATGTAAAATTACCTTCTATCTTTTATGAGAGATTTTGAAAACTGTTGGAGGAAGCCAACAAATATGCATCAAACTTTTTTTAGTCACTTGGAAAACTCATTTATTTACCAGATGTTTTTTTAGAATCTGTTGGAGATGCTCTAAATTCAGGTTTTTATAGTTACTATCCAAAATTATGATCGGGTATTTCGGGCAAGGTGGATTTTGCATTCGCTTGATTTCCCATCGTCCTCGCTACGAGTGTTACACAAATAGGTGCTCCCGATCACGCTCCACATCTACCAGTGCTTCCGCCAGCCTTGCACATGCTGTCGCGTGCCATCTACAGTCTACACATGTCGGCCCTACCTCGATGAGCCGGCGCTCCAGCTTTCCCACTTCCTCATCCCCTGCCTGATCTGGCGGTCGACACCGCCGCCATGGAGCTCTGCTTCCCCTCTGCCCTTGCGGTTGTTGCGTCGGGGGACAGCGACGGCAACGCCAAGGCACCGGGAGATGCAAAGGCGCGGCGGCGGAGTGATTGACATGGTACAACAACAGTTAAGATCCACAAGAGCTCGGGTGGGTATGGTATGGGCTGGGCTTGCGATGGGCATGGGTACGGGCCGAACTTGTCATACTGTACTGTGTAATTCTCAAAAAGAAAAACTAAAATTAATTGTTTGTTTACTTTAAGATCCGTGCAGTTTTCAGAAAAAGATCTATCAGAGCAAAACTCTTAGAAATGTTGCCTATGTTATTGGTGAGACAGACCTCTAATGCAATTTGTGCCGATCTGGTAAGGTGAAGCCATGCAAGTCAACGTTTTAGGCAAGAAAATTTCGTCCTTGCGACAGTTACATTGTGACGTGTCTTCATCTCCTGTACAGATCCCTCTATTCCAAATTATAAGATATTTTGGTTTTTCTAGATACATTATTTTTTACTACGCATCTAGGTATAGTGTTTATTTAGGTAAAAAAAGTTATATACATAGAAAAGCTAAAACATCTTATAATTTAAATTGAAGGGAGTACCGTTTTAGTTTACACGGAGGAGAGTTGTCTCGCTCAACAATGCCTTGTGAGCTAAAACATAACAAACTAGCACCGTAAGACTTTTCTCCATCGATCGGCCCATGCAATGTAAGTGTTGTCCATGTACAATGAAAGCAAACTCTACTACACGACCAATAGCGCGGAACATGGACAGTGTGTCCCAACGGCCTAGGAGCCCAATACCCTGCCGCCGGCGTCGAAGATGAGGAGCTTGCCGGCCTTAGGGTTCGGGGGTCAGGGGGATCCAATCACCGACGGCTATACAAAGGGGTTTGGGGGCGACGGTAGCGACACAACAATGGTGGTGGCCGAGACAGCGGTTGGGCGGGCGGCGGAGGCGCTGACCCACTTGGGGAGGTGGGAGAGGCGGTTAAGGTGGTGGCGGGGTGCACCACCACGGGAGTAGTCTACGGTGGCTCTGTCATTAGGGGAGGGCAGGGTTGAATAGCGATGGTGGGAGGTGGGCGGCGCGACGAAGCCACCGGTGGAGATAGTAGAAGCCCGGGTGCAGCGGTGCCAGAACCGGCAGGGCGGGGGCAGCAATAGCGAGAGTACCAGCACCAAGGAAGAAGATTTCTACCATGAAGTCTTCTCTCTTTTTTTTAAAAAATACCATGAAGTCATTCCAAAATTGCGTTGTACTGCATGATGCAGCCGGTCTATTGGACAACTACTAACAAACTAATGGAGAAAA